AGTACTGCTTCCAGTTCTGATGTTAACATTTTTAAAACATTTAAAAATTGGAGCAGGTACAGGAAAAAAGCAGCAAATGATTTCAGGGCTGCAGTAAATGCCTTACAGTGAGAGTGTCAAGAGCTTCATTTGTTGCATTTATCAAAAAAGATGGAGACATAACTTGATTATGGTGTCTTAAGACCTTCACGTGGACAAAATACTGGGCACTAATGAGCTCTTCAATCCAGGATAGATATACAAAACGAAACAATGGCTAAAAGCAGAAGCCAGACAAATTCACTGTAGTAATTAAATACACATTTTTAATAGTGAGGTGTATCAACTATTGGAACAAATTGCCAAGAGATGTGGTGGATTTTCTATTTCTTGGTGCCAAGAAATTAGGAATACATGCCATTCTTGATAGAAGATCTGCTTTAGACAAACATAAATTGTTTATGGGCTCAATGCAAACATAACAGTATGAAGTTCCATGGTGATATATAGCTGATCAGCCTAAATGATCTAATGGTCCTCTCTGGCCTGGGGAAAAACAAAACAAATCCACCTCAGAATCTAAGAATCCCTGTTACTGGCCTGTCTACACACATAACGTTATCAAAATCTTCTCGTCCAGAAGAAGATGAGAGCCAGAGATGGAGCTTTACTACAATAATTGGTTATGTCAGAATTACAAACTATAAAGACCTCTTTATGGAAGTGGAAGACCATAACAAAATATACAGCACTTCTGTACAGAAATTCACAGGGATATGTTGGTTCTGTTCAAAACAAGGTCTTGTACAAACCCTTAATCATGTTTACATATAGGTATCACAAGTGATCAGCACTAACAGCAGCAACAAGTTTATGAATTAATTGCAATAAAATATTTTATTATAACAACTTCTGATTTTGTAATTTCAACGTGAACAAGTGCAGTGGATTACATCACTTTAGTACACATTTCATTAATGATGAACGGTGCATCTTACTCATTACACTACTGGCGAGGAGTTCTGTGGCACCTTATAGACTAACCGAAGTGTTGGAGCATAAGCTTTCACAGGCCTTGGGAGGCAGGCTAGTCCTCGCCCACAGACAACCCGCCAACCTGAAGCATATTCTCACGAGCAACTATACACCACACCATAATAACTCTTAACTCAGGAACCAATCCATGCAACAAACCTCGGTGCCAGCTCTGCCCACATATATACACCAGCAACACCATCACAGGACCTAACCAGATCAGCCATACCGTGTCTGGTTCATTCTCCTGCACATCTACTAACGTAATATATGCCATCATGCGCCAACAATGCCCCTCTGCTATATACATCAGCCAAACTGGACAGTTCCTACGTAAAAGAATAAATGGACACAAATCAGATATTAGGAATGCCAATATACAGAAACCTGTAGGGGAACACTTCAATCTCCCTGGACACACAAATGCAGAGCTAAAGGTAGCCATCCTGCAGCAAAAAAACTTCAAGACCAGACTTCAAAGAGAAACGGCTGAGCTATAGTTCATCTTCAAGTTTGACACAATCAACTCAGGATTAAACAAAGACTGTGAATGGCTAGCTAACTACAAAAGCAGCTTCTCCTCTCTTGCTATTCAAACCTCCAGATCAGCTACTAGAAGTGGGCCTCATTCTCCCTGATTGGATCCACCTGGTCATCTCTAGCCTGATTCTGGCCTGCATATTTATACCTCCTCTGGAAATGTCCACTACATGCATCTGACGAAGTGGGTCTTTGCCCACGATAGCTTATGCTCCAACACTTCGATTAGTCTATAAGGTGCCACAGAACTCTTCGCCGCTTTTGCAGATTCAGACTAACACGGCTACCTCTCTGATACTCATTACGCTTGCACTTAAGTATGATCATAGAAAGATTCAAAAATTTGGCACTAAGCTATTTCCATCAGAGATTTCTTTGCATTATAGCAAGTGATTTGAAAGAGAACAAGATTCATTTTGTATATGTATCTCAAACTGTGACGTGCATTGTTTCAAATACTGTTTGCTCATTATTCAGGCAAAAATGAAATGCCTGTCCCTCAGAAAAATCCTTCATCTGCCCTACTTTTCTGTGTAACTTGATTATAGCATCAATATTTAAAATTATTTGCACGAACCATAGAATTCATTAAAGCAAAATTGTCATTATAGGTCTGAAATTGTGGGAAATGCACATTTCTGTGAATTGCTTTGTATGTCTTCATAGACTTGGTCAAACTTATGGTTGGCATTTCTTTGGAATTTTGAAATTAAAAAGAAAAGGAGGTGGCGATAGAGTTCTGCAATTAAAGTGTACCATGCCACATTTGTGTTGTCGTGAGACGACTACAGCAGCAAAGACACTACCTAGTTCAACTAATTGTAGTATGTAGAAATTGGTTAGTATTTCTTTTAAATAGTTTGTTGGCATTCTAGTGACGGTCACCTTTTTCTATACTTTAGAAGCCATTAGAAACCACTCAGCAGAGCAGCTACGCATTAAGCTAGGCTTTGTATGTTTGTATATAGTTAATAAACATGCTTATTTGGGACCAACTGTGCCTAATCAGTGTCTTCATTTTATTTTTGTTGTGTATAGAGCAAAACACACAACTCTAAGAACAAATGTCTGTAAATCTTTAACAAAAAATTCAAGACATTTAATCGTTTCCTATTCTTAATTTATCTAACAACAAAATTCCCAATAGATTTCTTCATTTATAGCTATCATATCTGTGAAAACATTACACCTTGATTTGCAAGTTGATTGTTGCTCTTTATTTTTTTACACGAGTTTCATGTTCATTAACAATGCAAACAAACATTAAAACGTGGAGGTAATATATTTGTCAGACCAAAAATAAAAATTCAGCATATGGAGTGGCATATCTTCTTCATAATGGAAAGACCATTATGGGGATGTTAACTTAATGTGGCCTAGTATGTATTTTCTCTAATATAGCCATTCAAACCTAGCTCCGTTTTCAAGCCCTGCGCACAATCTGGAATGGGGATTTAGGTGTAACTTTGCAGTACAGGAAGTACCCGACTTACGCGGATCCGGCTTATGTTGGATCCGCACTTACGAACGGGGCTTTTCTCGCCCCGGAGCTCACGGGCGGCGGGTCGCCACCCGTGTCCTCCGGGGCGAGAAAAGCTTCTTCCAGTCTCCCTGGTCTGCTGGGGGGGGTCCAGCAAAGCCGCTGGACCCCCCCCAGCAGACCATGGACACCCGAGCAAAGCCGCTGCCTGGGCTTTGCTCGGGTTTCCCTGGTCTGCTGGGGGGGGGGGGGGGGGGGGGGGGCGGGGGGGCCCCCAGCAGACCAGGCTTTTGTTGCGGGACGCCTCGGGTAGAGCAGCTGGGGTGCTGCCGGGTTGGTCCTGTGGGAACCTACCGGGCAGCGCCCCAGTGTTCTGTCCCAGGCTCCAGATTCAGCAGCTGTTGAAACTGATCAGGCTGATTCCAGGAAGCTGGGGGCAGAGCAACTCTGCCTCCGGCTTCCTGTAGTCAGCCCCTGGTCAGTTTCAGTGGCAGCAGCTGAATCTGGAGCCAGTTCCGACTTACATACAAATTCAACTTAAGAACAAACCTATAGTCCCTATCTTGTACGTAACCCGGGGACTGCTTGTATATTGCTCAGGAACAATGATTTGGCTCAGGGAGTGGTTTGTCCCAGGTCTTTCAGAACAGCTGGCATGTCAAGGATGTCTCATTTGGGGTGACCTGAGCATTATTTCTTCATGTACAGAGAGTCATAACTCAGCTCTACAATTAATTAATACATTAGTGGTTTAAATGTTTATCACATTCATTTGATTTTGTTTTTAGAAATTTCATCTTATATTGATATATTCTAAAATACTTTTGGCCTTTGAATAAGGAACTGGGAGCCATGAGAGAGGCACAGGTACCATGAATAAGCAGTATTTCAGCCTCATGCAGAATTCTGATGTGAATGCGGCTAGTGAACCTGTTCAAAAAGGAAAACTGATGTCTGCAAAAATCTGAACTGAGATACTGACTGACTGTTTAGAGCTGGTGATTTTTGGAAGCAAAACCTGTCATTCAGTGGCTCTGTAAGGATACACGTGTGGGATCATTTTCTGATTGGCAACGTTAGATCTTCATTCATTGTATAATATGTGAATGTTCTTAACAAAACAAATGTTCTGCTTTTACTTGGCTCTGCTTACAGTTGCGGTTTTCAGGTAACATCTCTTATAGCTTGTTACAGTAGAGAACTTGATAACACTGATAACTTCCATTACTTGTTTTCTAAGATTATAATCAGGAAAAACTTTTATTTCATGTTTTTTTTGTCTTGTTCCTGCATCATTACTGAATCATCAAGTTTTGGATGTTGAAAGTGATATTTGATGAATTTTTCTGTGGTTTCTGGAAACTATGATGTTTGACACTAAAAGCACTGCAGCCTTTAATTGTGATTTTTGTGTGTGGTGTTTTGGTTTTGTTTTTAAACTCCCTTCTCTCTTATTAAAGACATTCTTAGTTGGACACATTATATAAATGTGAAGTATTTTCTATAGCAGGGCTGTGAAACCTTAGGCCCGAAGGCCAGATGTGGCCCCTGGCTTGCCTGGATCTGGCCCCCAAGGCTCACGGCTGCCCTCCCCTCCCAACCATAGCATTGGGGAGACCATGCTGGTGCTCCAAAATCTATTAGCCTGGGCCCTCCCTATGCTCTGTTTCTCACTTGTGTGCAGCCCCTGACTGATGTTTCAGTGGGTCAACGGCCCCCCGATCTCAAAAAGGTTCCCCAACCCTGTCCTATAGGTTTGAAAAATGAAGCGGGAAGAACAATATTTGTACTCCAGTGGTAAAATGATATTTTTAAAGGCATCTGAGAATACTTTTTCTGCCCTCACTGTGGCTTCAAGTTTTGTTCTTTTTTAATCCTGTTTTAACTACATGTGGATAACGGAAATATTAATATCTGAATTAGTATTTAATTGCAAGCAGTATTGTATTTTGGGCCTCCTATACAGAGTGCTTCCTGCAAGAAATTTTGAAGAATGCAGTCTTCAAAGAATAAAAATGTAGAAAAGTCAGAACCATTTTATAGACCTTCAGTACCTAAGCAGAAGACCAGTGCTGAGATAATAAATGAAGCACGAAATGCGCTACGGACTTTAAGAACTCAAAGGCCATTTACACCTAGAGAGGACCAAAGGAAACTTTTTGGATCTGCATCTTCACGAACACCAGATAATAGACCACCTTCCACTTTCAGGTACAGAGATTTTATGATTATTTTTATTATATTTTAGCAGCAAGAGGTTTGCTTTTTTATTTGTTTTTTTTGTTTATAATAATGTGTATGGTCCTTGTTCCTGTGTTAGGATGTTAATCAGCAGTGTAGACTTTCTCATCTTTTAATTCTATTCACTAGCATGGTTAACCTGTCTGTCCTGGAAGTTCCTGTGACTTGAAACTGACTGTGTTAGTCATTACACCAAGATGTATGTAGAGTATGGTGTAAAAGAAGATTCTGTATCTTGCCATTTCCATAAAATATTTCTAAAGCCTTTTAAAAATGTTTACTTCAGAAGACTCCTCTAGCAGTTCCAAATGCTTAAACAGGTTTTGAATTAATTTCTTTATGGGATGACTGGTAGGGTTGCCTGGTATGCGGTATTCACCCGGACAGTCTGGTATTTTCACCTTCTGTCTAGTTAAAAAAAAAAAATTCAGAGAATACTGGACACCTAAAATGTCTGGTATTTTCTGATTTTTTTTTCTCAGCCAGGAGGTGAAAATGCCGGGCACCTGGCAACCCTACAAACACTCAGCACCCGGACTCTTCCCCCTCTCCCCGCCGAACCCCTCCTGGCTCCCAACACCCCCAGGCCCCCGACCTCAGCCCCCATGCTTACCTAGTTCTGCAGGGCTGCCGTCACAAAATGGCTGCCGACCAAGGGGAAGCAATGCTTCCCCTGGGTCTTAGTACTCAACCGCTCCCCTGTTCCTATCCCTGCATTCACTCTTAAAGGGGACATGCTGTTTTAATGCTGTTTTATTTTAATTTTTTTTCCCTCAGCAACTTTGGTCTCTTCCCCACCCCCCTTTTTTTCCCTTCAACAGAATTTTCTTCTAGGTGGTTTTTTTTTGGGGGGGGGGTGAGGGGGTAAGGGTGTTCGATATTTTTGTTTCACCCATCTGGCAACCCTAATGACTGGCTATCTTGTCTTCTGGTGGAAGAGGCTTGTGGCTTACTATAATTTCCAGAAGGCAAGATCTAGTTCTGTAATAGAAGCAGGAACTGACTGCTTTCTCTGACCTCCCTCTATGTAGCAGCATGGCTTCTGCAGGAACTGCACTGCCATTGCCTGCATCCATCCCTCATGAGTGCTCAGAAGCAGCTGTAGTGAAGTTACAATGAATTATAGATCTTCAAGCAGCTTCAATTCCTTTTTCCAGTATCTGTCCACACAGTAAGTAGGAGAGGATGTCAGTATGCAGGCAGACCTCTGTTTTTCCTCCCCACATCCATTGTGCTATATTCTATTTGACCCCACAGTTTAATAGCATCTGTAGGATTATGGGAGAAGAACAGTATTGCAGATAAGATGTTCCCATTTGTTTAAAAGCAGTGGGGAAGAAGATTGTATGGGGAAATGAAATGGGGTCTTGGTTAATATTTTGTTTTGTTTTTTATTCTAGTCTCCATGCTTCCAGTTTTGAATCAGGTGATTCAAGACTAGTTTCTGGAACACGTCTCAGCCCACTGGACCATGTGAGTGTTTATTTAAAAGAATGTTGTGCTGAAATAAAGTATAGTGAATTTTATCAACCATTGCAGTGGTATAAAAGGTTAAAGGGATGTTTTGTGTGGTTTATTAGAATGGGGTGTGGAGGGGAGGGGGAATGAGTAATTTTTTTCCAAAAATGAGAATGCAAGTTGTTCTTATAAAGTTGTAACTGTGTTGGTCCTATAATATTATAAAAGGTAGGCGAGGTAATATCTCTTATTAAACATCTTCTATTGATAAAAGAAACAAGCTTTCAAAGAATTTCTCCCCAATAAAAGATATTAACTTATTCACCTTGTCTCTTTCACAGTATTTTAGCTTTTTAAATATTCCTGTATAGATTTCTAACCCCATTTACAGTAGCATTCTTAAATGTGAAAACAGGGTCAAGTGAAGTGCAAAATGCTAAGAATCAGCACTGTCATTGAAAAGGAAATTAGAAATTGCTGATCAGCAACTTGCAATTGAAAAGTGTGGCTGAGTAATTTATAATGTACAATAGTTCTGGATAACTGAAATAGTAACATTTAAAATTGGATAGTTACTTTTAAGAACATATATAGATGCCTTCTTTTGAGAAAATGCTGAATTATTTTATAGATATGCTAGTTTTGTAGTTGAGATTAGTCTTTGACTAGATCATGAAAGTTTTGAAATATTAAGCTGTCTGATGAAGTAGAACATTGTGTGTTAAATCAGTAACATCAGTGGTTCAAGCATTCTTCAGTAATTCATTAGTCATATCTCTATTCATAATAGCAGGTCTCACAATATTGAGTTCTTTGGGAAATTTTAAAGAGTCCATTTCCAGTTCCATAACTTTACAATTATTTTGATATATTAAAGAAAAAAAAATACCTGAATAAGATGCCTTTATTTAGTTCTAACCTTTAAAATATGGCTTAAACTATGAGGTTTTAGGCATTTTTATATAATTATTGTAATTACTATATTAGTTTAAAGTGGAGCCTTTTGATGAATTAGTGAGGTAGTGAAAATAAGTTACCGAGGAAAGTCAAGTCAAAGGAATGAGTTTTGCATTTAGTTTTAAAAGTTATGAGATCCATGATTGTCATTATATCTTTTAAGAATGGGTTCCATAGTCTAGGTCTAGCTGCTATGAAAATTGTCTTCCATGTTCATGAGCTTGCCTCTGTCAGTTGACAATATAATTGATCCAGTGGACAATAGCTATTGTTGGAGGTCATGGGTATTAAGGTAACAAGGACAATCTTTTGGTAGCTAGAGTCAGTCTCATTGAGAGCTTTAAAAATTAGAACAGAGTAGTTCAACTGGACTCTATTTTATGGAGCATTAGTGTAGAAAGCGGAGCCCTGAAGGTGGTGAATTCGTGGACACTTAACGCATGGACTGCTGTTTTGTACAGATGGAACTTTTACTTGGTCTGCAGTATCTAATATATGGAGTTGCAGTAGCCTTGAGTTCAAGGATGTGCGCCCAGGACAGTATGTTATAGAAAATGGCATATCTGCTTATTAATAATATAACAGTATCCATTTGAATACAGTTTTATTTTGCTAATTTTAAGTTATAAGGAAATACAAATGGAATCTGACAGCTTGCAAAAACTGATCTTTATCTTTTTTCGTAATAGAAGCCAAAACTACTTTCATCATCTACAAAAGATGAAGATTCATCCATTTCCTTCCCGAAGCCTCCAGTGAACCCAGTGGAAGTTAGAAAAGTCAGCAGTGCCCGAGCACGCTTATGTAGAACAGCTTCTCAGGGATATCTCCTTCCAGATAAAATATTTCTTCCTGATGAGAGTAAGAACACTTCAATATAATTAAATCTAATTTTAGAGTAAAAAAGTCTCTTTTTTTCAAATGTAACTTAGGTCCCTAAGCCCTGCTGACTTTCACTTTTTAAAACATGATTTAGGCTCCTAAGTCTGTAAGTTCCTAAGTGTCTGTTACTCAAAAAAGGCACTTTAAGTGGAAATGATCGTGAAATCAGATTTCATGAATCTTAGGGGAAGGAAAAAGTGACAGCAGCCGAATAAAGAGCATGCATTTTAAAAAAGCAGACTTTAACAAACTCAGGTAACTGGCAAGTAAGGCCCCACAGAAAGAAAATTGAAGGGAAAAAAGGAATGCAGGAGATCTGGCAGTTTCTCAGAGAATTTGCTGTTGCATTTGTAATACTATCTCTGTGTGTGAAAGAAAAGTAGGAAGGATAATAAGAGGCCAATAATGCTCCATGAGAAGCTATTTAATGATCTGAAAAAAAAAAAAAAAGAATTCTATGAAAGTAGAAATGTGGGCATATTCTAAGGAGATGGTCAAAAGAATAGCACAAGCATGTAGGGGCAAAATCCGAAAAGCTAAGGTACAAAATGAGTTACACCTAGCAATAAGTGGCAATAAGAAGAGGTTTTTTAAATACATTGGGATCAGTGTTCCCTCCTATCAGAATAAATGTTGATGTGCACCAAGGCATGTCCGAATGTGCACGACCAGTAGAAAAATAACTAGCTGTGGGAGCTCTGCTAATCAGCTGGGTGGCATTTTAATCTCTCCTGAGAAGCCTCACAAGTGTGCAGCTTACAGAGAACATTGACCAGTAAATTTAATTGTGATCAGGTATTTAACACAATATTGACAACCAGGGAAAAGATACACAAGCCAAAATAGTGAAAGCAAATGTAAAAAAATACTTAGATGTATTCAAGTCAGCAAGACCTGATGAAAATTGTGCTAGGTTACATACGGAATGAGCTGAAGCAATCTCAGAAGGGATAGCAATATCTCTGAGAAGTCTTGGAGGATAGATGACACCCTAGATTCCCAGAGAAAGGGAAACATAGTGCCAGTGTTTAAAAAGAGGAGCAAAGAAAATTCAGGGTATTATAGACCAATTAGCCTAACATAACTACCTAGATACAGGTAAGGCAACTGGTGGGAGGGCACAAAGGGTCAAGTGCTCCTCCTGGCCTTGGTGGAAAGAGAAAAGGGCAAGGCCAGCGGGACGCTGCTACGTGCAGTGGGTGCCTGGGAATCCAGGCACGTTCCTAGGCAACTGCTGTGCAGCACTGGGAGCATCCATGAGTGGCTTCGGGGCCTGCCTGCCAGGAATAGCTGCTGAATATGCCGAGGGAGCTGGTGCAGCGAGACAACAGAGCCCCCGCCTCCCCTATTTAGTTCATGGGGTGGAGGAAGAATTACATATAATGCATAGCTGTCCTGAAAACAGTTAAAAAATCTTTAAAAACTTTATAATGAGGAGTTATTTGGAATATAATAATGGCAAGATATTCTATATAATAATCAAACTAATGTAAAGCACTGAGTGTATGTCAGTATTAATCTGTTTATCCCTTTTTGATCTTACTCCAAAATAAACATATAAAAAGGCTCTCTATATGTTTAATATCACTATGATTTTATGCCCTCCTATCCTGTGCACCGATCTACAATCTGATCCATAGATCTCAGCACCATGATGTTGCTTTGTTGTCTAGTTGATAAGATAATTTAATTCTGTTGCAACCTTTATTTTACAGGACTAATACATTTTTCAGTATCTGGGAAACATTTATATTGGTTTTAGTGTAGGTTACTTTTGGGGAAATGTTAACTTTGGAAGTGTTCCTTTAATCATAACTCCTTACTGTTTAAAGTACTTTTTATATCCAATTTTTGGCTAGTAATCTTAACACTGCTACTGAAAAATGCGATACATTCTAGTTTTAGGACGAATGAAAAGTTTCAAAATAATTAAACAGTGAAAAGCCTAAAATATATTGGATACGTTTAAAAATTCTTTTTTTTAGAAAAGAATGAATGTCTAAAAATCTCTGATGCAAAGTAGAGCATTGTGTTTTAGATACTTGGACACATTTTCTCTAATTTGTCTGCTTGCTGCAATAATAGGAAATATAGTCTGAGGTACAATTTGTTTTTCCATCTTGTAAGAATGTTTTTGCAACATGTTTATTCCTACTTTTTGTAGATAAGGAGCAGGTGAATTCTGAAGAACCAGCTCCAATGGATAATCTTTCAAGGAGAAGTAACAGAAGTTATTTAGCAGAACTAAATCCACGCTCCAGTGCCAAGGATGATGGTATTCCATTAGTTTACAATGAACATAATAAGGCCGAGGAGCAAGACTTCTTAAAAGGGGCAGTAACAACATCTCCATTGCAGTTCAAAAGTGGAAGGTTAGTATTTACTTTTTTCTCTTTCCAGTCAGTTAAATGCATAATATGTCATGCATCAAAACATGTAGAACAGCTAGAATTCAAAGATAGTGAGTTTAAATTAATTGATCTACTATATATTTGAGTGTGTGTGTGTGTATGTGTGTCTGTCTGCTTGTTCAAGTACTCCTCCTAAATGGTAAGAGCTAGGACCAAATTCAATATGCAGCTTCCTCTTATAACTTAAAGCAAGGTAAGGGTTTTGGTTGTGCCAGGAAAATGAGATGTGCCTGCAATGGGATTGCTTCTCTGAACACGGAAAGATAGGACTCTGCTCTATAACGACCAGATGGGGGCATCAAGGGATATAGGATGGAAAGCAGGGGTGTATACTGTATAAAGACCGCAGGGGGCCAGAGATGGGAATGCGACAGTAATTTTCTGCATTCCTCATTCTGGCTGGGGAATGCAGGGGGCAGACAAACCTGGACCCGTCCCACCCAGGGGACATGCATCCCCTCCCCCATCTGTGTCTGCTAATGCTACAGAGGTCATGGAGAGGCACTTCTCACCTGAGACCAAGCTGCTGTGGTGAGAGGGGCCTCTCTCCCTGCATAGTGAGCCCCTCATCCCCATCCCAGAACAGTGATTTAAATGAAGTATGTACATTTTAATTTTATTTTATTCCAAAAAAACCAAAAATTGAGTTAAGAATCCAAACAATGCTGAGTAAATCTAGTATTACTATAACTAAATGATATATTCAGTAAAAACATTCCCCCCCCATTACACTCAGCAGACTTGCTCCTCTTGTAACAAAAATAAAGTTTAACTGAGTATAAGTATAAGTAATTGAGTAATTGAGTATATGCTTTCTCATTTTATTTGATCTCTAACATTTCAAAGCTATGGATCTGCTACTAACATTCAGGATATATTATTAGGTTTAAAATGTCTATCTAGACACTCTATACCTCTCAGCCACCTCAGTGTTTGTTTTTTTAAATAGCTTTATTTTCATGCTCATTTCCTACTGTTCAATGTCTGCAGTGACTTCACAGGTACAGTGTTTCAGTAGGCAAATGAAACTATGCTTGCAATCCATTTCTACTGCAGCTATAGTGTAGTGTGGTATCAAAGTAAACCCCCTCTCCAAAACGACAGACTATAAACATTTTGTTCCAAATACAGGGCACAATCTGTGTACTACCTGGCCCCTAATTTCCTGGTAGTTGAGGTGGGTAGGGTAACAAGAAGGAGTGTCAAGGACAACCCCAAACTACCCCCAGAAATAATGACTCCAAGAGGCTGGACCTGTTTGGACGCAGAATTTATTCATCTTCCTTGTCTCTTTGGCCTCTATGACTTTAGTATTTGGCAAACTGTGGCCAAGTTTAAGAGTTTCTCCTGGAAGGTTCCCAAAAACAATTCTGGGTAATCTTTAAGGAGCATACAGCCACAGCCAGGGAGGCTCTTCAAGCAGCATCTGATGTGACAGACTCTTTTGCTTGTACCATGGCATCCACCATTTACATGCAGTGTGCTTCCAGGCTGCTCCTCTGTGGATTGTCCTCTAAGGCTCAGTACTCGATACAGGACCTGCCCAGGCCCTGTTTGTGGAGCAAAATATGATGAGCTGAATGGACTGAAGGATTCCTGAACCATCCTGAAAACCCTGGGGCTTTATGTTTCAGGCCTGTTTGAACTGCAACTGGCTCAGAGACCAGGGAGCTTGTCCTGGCAGAACCTGCTGTACAAAATGATCAAGGGCCATATATGCCACCCGAGTCGCTCACCTTCCAATCTCTCACCTTCCAACCTGCTCCAAGCAAAGAGCGAAAAAGTTGTTTCGATGGTGCACCTGAGGGCAACCCACAAGACTGTTCCCTGGATTCCATTTCCCCAGTTTTGTCCAACTGGCTTTCTTTTTTCCTCTCTGCATGGACAGTTATAACCTCAGACCACTTGGTCCTAGATGTGATGTCACATAGGATTACCAGGATCGTTTCCAAATTCTTTTTACCCCTTCCACTCTCTTCTCCATCTCTCTTCAGGGTCATTTCTCACAAGAGTGTTCTCATGCAGGAAATTCAGGAGCTGCTATAGCTGGGTGCAGTGGAGGAGGTTCTGCCCTCATACAGGAACAGGGGGTTCTATTCCTGATATTTTTTCATCACAAATGCCAGGGTGGTATATGTCCCATTCTGGGCTTGTGAAACCTCAAAAGGTACTTAAAGAAGCTAAAGTTTCACATGTTCTCTTTGGCCTCCATTATCTCCTTTCTGCATCCAGAAGACTGGTGTGCTACTGTGAACCTGAAGGATACATACTTTCATGTATTGATTTTTCCTGGGTCATATATGCTTCCTGCCTTACTTGTTGGGCAGAGTTGTGAGAGTCCTGATTTACAACACAGAGTTGATTGTTCTACATCAACAGTCAAGGGGGAGTGCACTACACGACTCTCTACTAAGAGGCACTCCTTCTCTGGGACTTCTGCATCAGGCATGACATCCATCTGGATGTTGCCACCTTCCTGGTGCTACTAATACCTTAGCTGATCGCTTCAGCAGGGATTTTAAGAGTCTTCTCTCACCACTAGTGGTTGTGCCACCCCTGGTGGCCAACAAATCTACTTATGGAGTTCCCCACCTGGCATTGTGCCTTAATGATCTTCCAGAGGTGGGGAACTCCATAAGTAGATCTGTTGGCCACCAGGCTAAACTGAAAGTGCCTTTGGTTTTGCTTCTGAGGAAACCAGGAGCAAAACCTGAAAGGTCTGTGCAAGGACTCCCGCTCCAATGCTTTCTTCCTGTCATGGTCCAGGGGTCTGTTGTACACATTTCCTCTGATCCTCCTCATCAGTGGGGTCCTAGTAAACATCAAGAGGGACAAAGCGCAGGTTATCAGGATCACTCCTGCATTGCCTCGCCAGTGCGTCCTCATGCACTAAATGTCTGAAGGGCATTGGCCTATTACAGGTTGAACCTCTGTGGTTCGGCAGCATCCATGGTCCTTCTAGACCAGGGGTGGCCAACCTGTTAAAGGCAAAGAGCCACAATAGTTAGGGATATAGCGCAAAGAGCCGGGGACAAAGCGCAGGTTATCAGGATCACTCCTGCATTGCCTCGCCAGTGCGTCCTCATGCACTAAATGTCTGAAGGGCATTGGCCTATTACAGGTTGAACCTCTGTGGTTCGGCAGCATCCATGGTCCTTCTAGACCAGGGGTGGCCAACCTGTTAAAGGCAAAGAGCCACAATAGTTAGGGATATAGCGCAAAGAGCCGGGGGGATTCTGGGTGGCTTTTTGGCTCCCATTGGCTGGCGCCATTTTGCTTTGCCATGCCAGACGGTGAGCATGGGGAAATGGGGGCTGGGGCCGTTTTTAGGGGAGCAGGGGTGGCTTCGCGAGCCATGGGAGAGGCTTTGTGAGCTGCACTTGAAGGGGAGGGGGGAGAGCCGCTTGCGAGTAACAGGTTGGCCAGCCCTTTTCTAGACCATGGATGTTGCTGGCTACAGAGACCCAGCGCACAGATTGCTGGCAGCTGGGAGCAGCACCAATGAGTGGGGCCAGTGGGTAGCAGAGCCCATTGGGCACCAGAGCATGCAGTTGGTGGGGCCAGGAAGCTGGTGGGATCACTGGAGGCCACAGAGCCTGCAGCTGTTGGGGCCACCAGAGCTTGCAGGATCGCAAGCACTGGCAGGGCTGCTGTGGCTGTGAGCAACAGCAGGGCTGCTGCTGGAGCTTGTGGGGCTGCAGGCTGCAGTCTTTTTTCTGATGCTTAGGCAAGAAATTCATTTACATCAGTACAGATGTTTTGAGTACTATGGTGTGGAAAATGTTACTAAAAGATTACTTTTTTCATAGTAACTACTGTAGATAATAAAACTACTACTAATATATTAGTAAAATGTTACCTTAAATTTGTTGGCAGAGTTTGTAATAAGTGTAGTCCACAAAATTCATCATAATGCATCATTTCTGTTACGTAAAATAATGAATCACTAATTCTCACCTGATAACATTATGTAATGAAGCTGTTTCAATAACTTCATAATAAAGTTATTCTATCCTGAACGTG